TTTTTTTTTCTAATAAAGCAGGAAGGAACCCAAAATCGCTGCAATATATTTGTTCTGTGAGTCTAACCTTTTACGTTAAGAGTGATAACACGAAAATATTTCCTCCTCCTTTTTTCCCCTAAACTCAGGTTGTGCATTTGATCCAGTAGGAGTGTCGGCTAATAACGATATTTCTAAGCAGAGGTTTTCAGCTTCGTCATCTCTTAGCGGTCACAGTCCATCTGATGGCCAATTAGGAGGATCCAATGCCTGGATTCCTGCCAACAATGACCACAATGCTTTCCTCCAGATCGATCTGGGATGTCTTTACTTTGTTTGTGCAGTAGCAACACAAGGAAATCCAAGTGCTAATGATTGGACAAAAACATACAAGATAAAGACGTCCCTGGATAATGTCTGGAGGGCATTCTACTCTGAGGGTGGTTCCGAAAAGTACATCCTTTTTTGCTGTAGGTGAAGTAACAGCGAAATTATAATCGTGGAGACACTAAGTAACTAAGGATTGTGTTTATCTCTTAGCCTCGAGAACTAGGATTTCACATGCCGAAGTTGCTTTCGTTCCTTTCTCTCCCTTCCATTCGCTTTCTTCTCTCTTCTCCCGTCTTCACCGTCTTTAGTTTCCTCCTTCTTTTCTTCCTGCCTCCTGCCTTGCTTTCTTTTCCCCCTCGTTACTACAGCCTGCCTTCCTTGGTCTCTTGCTGTTTACATTGGAAACGTTAGGGAAATGAGTAGTAAAATGTGAAAGAAACTGACATAGACGTGATTTTCCTTTTAACATCCTTTGCCTTTTGTTCTGCCGGCGGGAGTCATCGTCAATGTAGTTGTAATCCTCAGAAATATCGTTTGTTTATATGTTTTTTCTCTCCGGTTAATTGTGAGCGGATAGGGTGAGACTCAGTGGCGGATCCAGGGGAGAGGCCCGGGGAGCCTGCCCTCCCTTATTTTTGGACCAAACTGAGGCCCGAGGGGCCGAAAAAAAATTATTTTGGAGGCCTGGGTCCCCCATATCGGAAGATCTGGATCCGCCACTGAGACTTAGGCTATGTTAAAAAAGAACCAGACGAATTTTCGACCGGTTGAAAACTTTCACCGGACACGGAACAGTTCAATATTTTCGCCCTCTTGACACGGAACCCCCCGAAGTAGTTTGAGAATTTTAATTATTTTCAGTTGTTTTCCTCCTACCCATGCGCAGAAAACTCCTTCATCTGAAATTCAGTATGGCGTCTCCCAGCTGAGTTAAAACGCATCCATGCAACCACGCCATTGCTACACAAAAATTTAGATGGTTAAAGGTGTTCACACCTAAACGCACGAATTTATCTTTCATCAGCATTTTATAGAAATTTTTGTTAATTTGCTCTTAGACATTTACTGGAAATGGTGACAGGAACAGCATTGTAAGAAATGAACTATCTGAGCCACTTGCTGCCAAGTTTATTCGTTTTTATCCAGTTACATTTCAAGCCGGAGGAAGGAAAGCATTAAGGGTGGAGGTGTATGGATCTAAACAAGGTTGGTCTCTTAGTACATACCAAATACATGCAGTTCAAAAGACAAACACAGCATTAAAAAAATGCACTTTTTCTGAGTGTCAACACGAAAGTGCAAATAAGGGACACTATTTTTTACGGGACCGCCATTTTACGTGCTCATCCGAGCCAGGCGAAGGTCTACCGGTTTGCTGGGCAAAGGGAGTACCTTCATTTTCTCAGTTATTTTAAGACCCTGAGTACTGGTCCGTCCCCGGGAATCGAACACGCGACCTTACACTCTGCAGTCGAACGCTCTACACACTGAGCTAACCCTGCCGCTAAATTCTGGTTTGTACATAAGATGCAAGGAAACTGACTTACCACTTGGTTCAGTGCTCAGTTTTAATAGGGAGCTTAAGCATGCAACCATGACGGCGACGACATCAAGAACCTCACTTAAAAAAGCTTCGGCGCTCTTTCAAACTTCATCGCTGTTGTTTCATTAGGCTAAATTTGTCAAATGTTAGAGAATCTTTCGCGAGTTGAGTTCTGAAGATCTGTATCTCAGTTTAAAAAAAAAAACAAAGGAAAGTCTTTGTCTTGTGTTCAGATTCTCAACGAAACGTGAAATTAAGGAGTTTCACGTTGTAGTCGTGCAGTGACGGCAAAGAAATGTACAAAAATACCTAATGCATGTGCAAAGTTGTTGTTTTGCTTATCTAAGGGCCCGTCCACACGTATTCGTTTTTGTTTGAAAACAGATATTTATTTTCTCCGGTTCAGCCTACCTTCCACACTCACTAATGCAGTGAAAACGGTCAACGAAACGCACCTTTTCAATAACGCTCTCCAGAGTGGAGATTTTCGAAAACCTACTCGGCTTTTCTTTTACGTGTGGACGGACGAAAACTGTTTCGAATTCGGAATACGATGATGTCATACATCATATACTTCTAGCATAACGCATGCTCAATAATAAAGCACTTTTTTTCTAAAGTACGGGAGAAAACTCAACAGAGAGGAAACAAGAAAACGTGAAATAAGCATAGATGTACAAAGATTGGTCAGGCAGTAATTAGGAAGCCTAAGCAACGACGACGGAGACGACGACAACGGCAAAAAAGCAACAGGTTTAGCCCCGTCCACATGTATCCGGATATTTTTTTATTACACAGATTTTTACCTCCATTTTCAAACAAATACGCAACCACCCAATGACTGTTTTCTGTGAAATATCTGTTAGGAAAAGCAAAAATTGTCTAGATTTTTTTAGATGACCGTTCCATTCATGTATAGTTTTTGAAGCCTATCTAATAAATTCCTTACGATTTTGTGAACTTTATTTTTTTCCATTTCACTCCCCAGGTTAAGCCTTTTTTTAGTAGAGAAAGGAAACCTAAAAGTTTTGGAACCAAAAATGCAATGGATAGAAAAATTGTCTCTTTCGTAAAACTCTAAATTGCAGCTAAAATGTTCGCAAAAATAATGCTGAAGCCCTTGTAAGACTCAAGCTGCCCTGGGATGACCGAACAAAAACAATTTTTTAGCGCTACTTAGAATACATTTCTAGATATCTAAAAGTACTCTGGTTAGCCTAAAAAGTGTTTCAATGCATTCAGGAGGAAACTTTACGTCCAACTTTAGACCAAAATAACCCCAAATCTAAATATTAGTGCAGGAATGAGTGGATCTATATCAGAGATTTTGAAGTCGTTGAAACTCGCAGTCTGTATTATCAGGTTTAAAACCTGATAATCGAAACTACTCGGTTTTTAAACAGTACATAAAAATTCTTAATAAAAATGCCATATTTCTTGATGTTTTTACAGGTTGCTTTGAATCGTTTAAGAATGAACGATTTCAACCGACCAGGGATTTTACAATTACAGCATCCTCAGAACTTAGTAGTCACAAAGCTGCTTGGAGTCGCCTTTATGGTACTGCCGGTTGGTGCAGCTCTTCAGTATCCCTACCTCAGTACTTACAGGCTGATTTCAATCAAATTGTAACAGTCACAGGCGTTGCCACTCAGGGAGATGCTCAAAGGAACAACCGGGTAACAAGCTATTTAATCCGCTATGGATATGATGGTAAAACATGGATTAGTTACGGAGCTGGACAGGTAAGTTTGCATCATGTATTCATATATCTGTCTGGATTTACTTAAAGGGACCTCCAGGAGTTTTTCCCAGACATTCTCATTTCGGGCTCGTTAACTTTACTTTTTTTCTTTGTTATAACATTTTGAGTACCCAAATCGTCTAACAAGCTGCAGTAGGCATTAAATCAGGCTCATCCTCGGTGTAAAAACCTTTGAAACTCACGAGTGACGTAAAACAATGAATACAAAGAAGCCACTGAGAAGCCAACACAATCGAGCCAAGGAAAATAAAAGCTAGAAAACAAAGAAAAACTTGACAGGTTTTTACACCGAGATAAACCCAAAAATCATGTGTTTATAATGCTGTCTGCATCATTCTTCACCCCCCTCCCCCGGCCCTACCACGAAAACCACTACCTGCGATCATTTCCCACAATTTTCATTTTCGTGTGATAAAACAATCCCACTTGAAATCAGCGCACGCGATAGCAGTTGTTTTCTGTGGTCGGTTAATATTCTAGTTTTCCTTTTGACCGCCTGGTGCAAAGTTTTTCGGAAGGCATTATTAAACCTTGTGAAGGAACAAGTCTCAAGATTGGCAATCGTCCAATTACCGTCGTCTAGTGTTACCCGTGTGGCCAAAATGAGACGAAATACGGGGAAGCACTGACCTCGGGCTTGAGACAGAAAAGTATATCATATTGCGAGCTTTGTTGTAAGCGGTGACGAGTCTCTGGCTTCAAAACGTAGGTTGTAGGAGTCGAACAATGTACCAATTTTCCGACTGTCCGATTACAGCCTGCAATTTGAAGCTCCGCAATGAACCTATTTGTACATTAACTCTGTGTGACTATCTAACGTACTAAATATTAGAAGCCAATGCAGATTCATTCACATCTATAACTCTTTGAAACTTTCAAGTAGGCTTCAAGAGAGTAAAAACAAAATCACACAACCTTTTAACCAATGAACTTTTAAATCTTACCTTTAGTCGGACATAATGAGTAGACAGATAAAACAGAGAAGATTTGACAACTTTTCTTGTTTGTCCGTTAATTATTGGAACTTCAGTCGAGGAACGGGCCCCTGAACGGACGTTTGCAACCCCGGTTAGGCTGACTCGTCCCCAGTCACGAAAAGCGTGACTGCAGGGAGCGCGAGGGGTGATGGAAGGAGAAGCAGCAAAATTCCTCCTTCCCATCACCTCTAGCGCTCCTCTTCAGCCGGTTCGGGAATATACCACAGATTGTGGTGTCCTTTAAATAAAATTATTTGTATATCTCCACTTACTTTGTTCTTGATCTACCACTCAGCATTTGACTGGAAACAGCGACAGAAGTACCATTGTTGTCCACTGGTTTGCTCCCCCGTTTGCAGCGCAATATGTCAGAATATTCCCCAAAACACATACTGGTGAAATATGTATGAGAATGGACTTGTTTGGCTGTAAGGATTGTAAGTATAATTTGTTAGAGGGAGATTTGTAAAAATTTGAATTACTGAGATACATGTGTTGCCGTATACAGCCAATAATTAATAGTAATAATACTTAAAAATTCATAAAGCGCCTTTTCCATGCAAATATGATCAAAAGCGCGTTACAGTGCTTTGAATGTTAAAAAAGAAAAGAAAAGCTGAAATGTACATAGCAATTTAAGCTAAAAAGTAAATTAAGCTTAAAAATTTGAATAAACAAACGAGCTTTATCTTAGTATCGCACGCAGCCGTTTTTGTCTCGTCACACAACTCTCCTCCCCATCTTTCTTCCTCGGGTAACCAATGAGAACAAGGAATGTGCCTCATTTTGCTTGCTAGCCACATAATAAGTACTTAAGTGCTATTTGGTATGATGCAGTACTTTCTAGCCTGCTCAAAGGAAATGGGATTGAGACATCTACTTGCAGGGTAACTGCTGTCGTCGAAAACGGAGGCATCTGCATCAAAATTCGTCCTCAAAACATCCCCACAATGCAATTCGATCGACACAACACCTGACCCCAGCCTCACGCGCAACCTCGAAGTGGCCAATAAAGATTTGCGGCACTCGATTGGTTATCAAAAAATTCTATTGTTTTCTGCCAATCATAGTTCTTCATTCTCTGATAATTGAATTACATTTCCTCGTTTTTGCACTCTGTTTACTTATAAACCGTTTACAGTCCCTTATTTTTCCGTAAGTTCCTCGAGATCAATCGCTTTACATTACGGGCGGCCATGTACCTTGGTTTTTGTATCAAATCTACTTTCTCGCCTCCCTCCCCCCACATAAACCCCACATGCTAAAAACCCCGACACCCGCCCCTTGGTACAAATGAAAGCAAAATGGCCGCCCGTACCGGTAAGCGCGCGATCTTAAAACTGCATTGCTCTCATCGAATCAGATTCAATAAACCTAATCGTCTGTAAAATTTAGATATTGTATTTGATAAGTTTCCCAAATTATTTCTTGTCGTCTTTACATTGATTATGTGCTTTTCTTTTTCAGACCAAGTTTCGTTGGCGTTAAACATTAATCTTTATGATGTTCGTTTGATAGCCGACACTAGTGAATCTGTGACTCTAACCTGTGTGGCAAGTTACAGCCCTCGACAACCCTCTGGGTATAGTTGGAGCAGAGATGGAACGGGGCTGTCTGACACAACCTCCTCTGTTACTATACCTTACAACAGTGCCAGTAATATATACACTAACTCTTGTGCAAGAAAGCTTCATTCAGCCAGTGAAGTCCAGTGTAATTCAACCTACCAATGCTCTGCGTCACTTTCTGGAATACAAAGCAGTCATTTTACCACTGCAAATGTTATAGTGTCCTTAAGTAAGCAACAATTTGTGCGTACCTTGAAACTCCTTTTTGCTCGTTATTGTGTGTATAAAAATTAATTTAATATTAGGGAACACGCAGTTTTCAGGAACTAATATAAGGACACGAAAATATATAGCATTCCAACAATACATAACTGTAAACGTATTTGATGAAAGAAGTACTTTCTCAAAAAAACACCTCAACCTTTAACGTATTCTAAGTGGGTTGACTTACTTTTTTAAAATTATTCTCTCTTTTTTTTCGCGCGTTTGTTTATTCGTTGATTTTGTCACTATTTCGACGGTATAAGTGCTGAGTATTAGATAACCTTATAAATTAGGCTCATTATGAGGAACATTTTCGCTCTTTTCAGAGAAACCACGCCAGCCAGTTGTTCAAGTTAATCCAAGTGACGTTAAAGCAAGATCAACATTAGTTAGATGGTCGTATAGTCCTGGAGGGGATGAAATGCCTGTTACTGCCTACAATCTTGAGTATCGAAATAGTACTTCTACAGATGATATAACTTTGGGAGTTGTATTGAGTAAACTGATTACTAACCTCAAGCCATACACACTTTACAGTGTTAGGTTGATAGCCACAAGTGGCTTAGGAAAGGGTCTGTGGAGTAATTTCCAGAATTTCACAACAAGAACTGCCAGTAAGTGATGATGCAAATTTGATGCAGTGCTAAGAATGATAATTTATATAATACGTTATTTTTCCAATGTATTGACCGTTACATCGTTTTAGCGGCTCCAATCATTCAGGTAATGAAATATTAACTACTGCTGTTATCATCTAATCGATACTTTCATTAAAATCTGAAGAACTGTGACAGATAAAGGTGTGTAAGATCATAATCAGGCGTCCGGTCATAGGACAGAGCTATTCTGATTGAGTATCAATCAATCTGAACTTAACTTGTTATTTTCCCTTTTTAGAGCCTGAAGTCGATGTCCCAATCGTGAGTGTGACAAGTCTTACTTCGCAGTCAATTCTTGTGAAATGGCAGGTAAACATCAGATTTATTTTAACAAAAACTCCTTCGTGTCCATAAGTACTTCGTTTCTCAAGAGGGTTGCCTATTATTTCCATGCTTCTCCAAAGACTATTACCCAGTCGCTATTGAGGTAGGCGGATCTTTCCCTCGCCCCTTCCCACAACTCTTCTCCCCCACTCAATCCTCTCATACCCCGAGATTTATAAATGGCGACCGTGTAGGAGTCTGGTTTCCTCAGACAGAAAAAACCTGTGTAACCAGTGCCATCTTGGTTCATTTGATATGATCACGGCCTTTGTGTAAACAAGAGAAAACATTTTAGGCTTGAAATTGTCTGCATCAATCCCACAAATTTATCATTTTGAGATCTTAACGTTAAATGGAGTTAACTGTTAAAAGGTTTGAAAATAAACGTAGGTAATGGGGAGGAGACTGGTTATTAAAGCCGGCGAACATCACTGGGAAGATAAAAATAAACTGGGCTGTAGTTTATGAAGTGAAGTCCGCGACAGTGCACAATCCTTTGTTTTTTGTTAATGAATTATGACTGGGTGAATTAATGCGATTTGATGTAAATGATATTTAGAAACTAATGAATTCGGCATTCTATTCGTAGGATATGAAGAATTAAGCAGATCGAGGAGGGTGTTAACGGTCTCTGTGGATAACACCCTCTAAGATTATACATTATTTATTTATTTATTTCATTTATTTATTATTCATTCAAAAAAACTCCTAGTTTAAAAACATAGCTAAAACATGCTTACCTGCATCGATGTTAAGTTTATCTTCGATAGTGTACGTTTAGTTCAATTTGTCCAGCTCCGCAAATATTCTCCAAATAGCAAATGTCGCCCTCCGCTGTTGCCTTCTTGCTGTTTTTGCTATGTTTTTAGCCATTATTTCGCCTAGTTCCAGCTGTAGTTCTTACTCTTGACACGAGTAAAGTTTAGTTTTCACAACGAAAACAACTCAACCTCGTCCCCAGGTCTTCTCGGTTAACGGTGCATTAACCTATAGAAGGCTGCATTTTTGACGTAATTTCCTCGGTAAAAACAAAATTCTTCCAAATTTGGTCATCAGTAACTGGCTATGGTGAAGTATGCATGTGCTTTTAGCCAATCAGAATTGGGGAAATATTTTGAATGAATAATAATGAACGTTATGCAACGTCAAGCCCCCAAAAAGCTAACAAAAGTATATACAAAAACTTTTATATTCCTCTTAATTAACTATGGTATAAAGCATGTTTTGCAATAGCTGTGGATTCACAAGTATGTCAAAAAGAACGAAGAAGGAAGACCAATACAAAAAACAAAAACAACAGCAGTTACATGGAGGAGGGTTTCTGGTTAGATATTTACCGTGATCTGCGGCGGTCTCCAAATTCTGGTCTCGCCGTTATGACAGTAGTGACTTTCAAACAAATGTTTGAAGATAACCACGGGTACGTCCGTATGAGCATGCAAGGTTTAACTGGGAGGAGAGGTTACTTAATGATGTATTACTTGAACACTAATTTAGTCATATTCACGTCCAAGACACCAAGCACCACTAATTTAAATGGACCCCTTAGAGGGTACAGCATTGCATACAAGGAAGAAGGGAAATCTTCATGGACAACAGTCAACGTCAGTGACTCATCAACCGATGAGACTTTACAGAACCTGAAGAAATGGACCGTATATTTCATTAGAATCGCAGTCAGTAATGGCGACTTTCTTGGTCCACCGGGTCCTGAAAAGCAAGTTCGGACGCTAGAAGATGGTTTGTATACTCCTTAACTTGAGCTTGTTTTCTACAAGTATCTGTTTCTTTTCCCTTATTACTTCCAGAACAAGAAACGAAAAACTAACAAAAGGAGAGCAATTGACTTTCACCTCTGTCTCTTCCTATTTTCCCTTCATTTAGCCCCCAGCAAACCAGTGAATCTAATGTTCACCTTGCAAGTGCCAAGTGAAATAGCGATGCCGAGAATGACGGTCCACTGGCAACAGCCTGCTGAACAAAATGGTTTCATCAGAAAATATAGATTGTTTTTGACCTACACCTTTGATGGAAGACAATCTACCATTATAAGTGAAACAAATAATCAGACCTTTAGCCACAGTCTAGATGTTTTCGGTGGAATTCAGTACAGTGTTGAGATTTGGGCAGAAACTATTAAACCTGGGCCAACGCTAACTGGAACTAAACAAGTACCAGAATACAGTAAGTATCTGCATTCAGTTTCCTGCTCTCAGTGCTGTTGTATCAGCGGGCCTTTGACAAGATGATGTGTGTACACGGAATTCGTAAGGGAAATGAGAAGCACTGAGAAGCTATACAGCTTTGAGCTGTAAGTCCTTAAGAAATGAAAGAGAGACACTCCTCCTGCTTAAAAAGCCCTATAACGCCTGCAAACAGGAAAGAAAAGAAGGGGAAGATTCCCAAGCCCATTTTGAAGTACTTCTGCCACATCGTGTTCAGTGAAATCTATAGTGTGTATTGAATATATGGTTAAATTTTTTAACCCTCTACTTCAATCTCGAATAGTTACTTGTCATTTACAATTTTTCGGTTATCGCAAGATTGTATTCTCACCAATTGCTTCTTTTTTCATTCTTTTTGCAGAACCAAGCGCGCCACCTCAAAACATAACCTCTGAAAAGATGAACGAAACAACTTACAAAATAAGTTGGAATCCTCTTCCCAGAGACAAGACCAATGGTAGAGTGATCGCATATGAAGTGAATCAGACGAGGCTTTCTATTACACTCACTGCAAGATCCGCGTCCACTCCGTCAGTTCTGCAAAAAACATCCGACACTTTTATCGTTTTAACTGGTCTTTCAACGTGCTCTGTTTACAAAGTTGAAGTGCGTGCCTACACTTCTGCTGGGCCAGGAGTCTTTGGTAGACTTAATCGTGACATAACGACTTCAGGTATTTCAATGTAGTCATAATTCGACTTAAAACGGACACAAAAGGGGCAGAGCCGAGCGTGCGCGTTATAGAGGAGTCCCTTTAGAGATAAACTGTCCAAAATAGAGAAGTGTTAGAATTATGTATGATCTCCAAGGGAAACTGAGTCGCTTCTTTGACAGAATTAATATTAAGCTATACAGGGAAAACTTTCCGTTCCAAAGAAAGCAAATACATAACGAAGTATTAAGTATCTTCGAAAATGCTCTTAACCGGAAGGTCGATGTATTTAACTCGTTCTCATATATTGTAAGTGTGTCCGTCGCTTACAATCATTGCAAATGATCATTACTGATTGGTTGTAGTTCCAAGTGAACCAACTGACGTGAAGACGGAAAATCCTGGTAAACGGAGCAAAACCTTGCGGTGGGGTTAAACCGAAACTACACAGCATTGATAATAGGCCACCAGTTGGATTTTACTAAATATATACATATTGTATATGATCCAATGTCAAATGGTTACTGAAATCCCAGTAATAACGTTTACGCGCCGCGAAAAAGGCGCTTGACTGTTATCTTATTAAGAGATTTGGGCAACAGAAACAATATTAAGCGACTTCCACTTATCCTCGGTCAGTGTATTTGAAGTTTCTCACTGCCTCCCACATCTGGCACCAATCTTGCTGTAACCTGATGCTCCGAAGTGAATGAGGCCGTTTCGGTGACTAAAATAAAGAGAGGATCTTGCAAAAAAGAAAATACAGCTGTTTTTGGGTCTAATTTGGTTATCTTAATTAGGGCCAATAAAGACTAATTTTCTAGGACTCATTGGAATCCACGGGCTCAAATGGGTCTCAAAAAGACCTAGAATAGATATTCGATGGGGCTGCTGGTTTGGTCAAATGGCTCCACGAATCCGGTTAAATCATACTTTCTAGTCGAAGGGTTAAATTAGAACTTCGGGACCAAGGAAGATCTTTCTAACATTCAGTCCACGGTGGGGTTATCCATCAGTGGATAACAACCTCCTTAAAAGAAACAAGAAGGTTTAGAGCTCTTACATCTAGAGTCTGCACGTCTGAGTACCACTATAATTTTAAGATCAAAATTATGATTATGATTATGATAAAAATATAAATACAAACAATAAATTGTTCGTAAGATCTTAAAAACATCAACATCAATCGCATTCACTGCATTTTTACTGAATTACCAGACATTGACGAGTGTGCTGTGTCTAATGGCGGCTGTAGTCACAAGCGTGTCAACATTGTGGGAGGCTTCAAATGTGAATGCCCTGACCCTGAACTGAGCATGTCATCTGACAACAAGAACTGTCACGGTAAGTATAAAAGAATAGCTGCTCTCTGACGTTCAATATTAACTTAAAAAAATAGTAATTTAAATGTAGGAAATTAAAACTCAATGTCCGAATCCAATAGTAAGCTAGATAGGCCAACAAAATGTTAACTGGGTTCGCAAAGAATGCTTTGCTACTCTAGTTATTTTTGTGTTAATCGTTTTATTTTAGCTCCAGGTGTTAACGTGCAGTGTAAGAGTGAAAACATGACCATCATCATACCCAAGTCCCTCCTCTTTGGTATTGACCGTGAACACCTTCGACTCTTGGACACCAGTTGCAAAGCTGCAGAGAATACTACCCACTTCTCACTCACAACACCGCTGACTGGCTGTAACACAACAAGCAGGCACACACCCACAGCTATCGTCTACTCCAACGCAGTCTTGAACATGCCCGTAGCTGTTAAAAATGTGGTGACACGTGTTCGTGAATTAGAAATACAATTCAGCTGTTTTTACAGCAAACGTGGCGTGGTTTCATCAGTTGTTTGGAAAGCAAGTAACAGAAAGCTTGTGTTTAGCAATGAAGGAGAAGGGAATCTGAGACTCGCACTTGATATGTTTCCTAACAAAACATTCGTGAGTCCTTTCACGAAGAGGGACTTCCCTGTGGCAGTGATACTTCGCAATCCCCTCTTCTTTGAAGTGTCTGTCATATCAGATGATAAGCAGCTGTCAATCAGAGCAGACCGCTGTTATGCCACTCCTACTCAGGATCGTACGAACCCTCTGAAGTATGAGTTCATTAAACAAGGGTACGACAAAAAACATACATTATAGTACAATGACATTTCTCTGTAAAACAAAAAATGCACTCAGTTAACTAACAGACGATACACGCGGACAGGGGGACTGGAGCCGAAATGTGTCCCGCAGTGGTTTCTGGGATCGTTAGTGGCGACGCGCATGTCAGCTTTTGGTCAATTTTGTCCTGTATCTAGTTAAAGTCCCAGAAGTCTTTGCGAAAGTTAACTCGGTCCAGTTTCCTTTCGGTTTTAAAAGTGGCAAATTGTTGTCGAAGAAAAGCAATGTCATCTTAGAGGAAGGGGTTAGTGGAGTTAGGTGAGTTCTACGAGTTTTTACACTGACTCACCGGCATAAAATTCGTTATGTAGTCGGCCGCTAATGTATGTCATGCACTTAATTTAAACGATTAAAGCAATTAATTAAACCGATATAGACACAGCATCTTCATTTCTTTTTATTTGTACTTATTTTTTAACTCAGTTATAAAGGCAGCTTCTACCTTTGATGTCATTTCTCTTAGATGCCCAAGTGATGCAACCTTACAGTACCATTCTGCGCCCTTAGCCGGTGTTCAGCGGTTTAGCCTGGAAGCCTTCAAGTTTATTGCAGATCATCCATTTGTTTTTCTTCACTGTCACGTGATCCTCTGCAATGCCTCTGACCCAGGTTCCATATGCAATAAAAGCTGTTCAGCGGAAGGCGACAGACGAAGACGTAAAGTTAGTCCCCAAGAAAATGACGCCTACACTTTGGGAGAAGGCCCAATCTACCTGGCGCGCGGAAAAGAAGAGGAAATACAATCTAGTGGTCTGGGTATGAGGGGTATGTATTAGTGGGCATGTAGCATAAAATTTATAAGATGACTGAAATAATCAGCATTTGGTTCTAGTTTAAAAGAGCCGTGTTAAAATGGACTACACGCGATGATGATGCTGATACTTCTGATTCAATATTGCGAAAAACTTTATTACCAAACTTAAAGTAAAGGACCGACTCTCTTATAACTTCTGGCTGCATCTAGTACTCAATATCCCGCCCTCCTTTTTGTCTTCATACGAAGCTTCCATGGCACCTTCCGATACTGAATATGTAGCCATCCTAATTTCACCAAGTAAACTAGATTCTGATCATTTCTATATCTGATTGCAAACTTATCGAGCCTTGCACCTAAATTGCGTAATTGAGCATGAAAAATCTTTCGCAACAATGACTCAAACTGCAATACCCTGAAATAGGTATTAAGAAGTGTGTCCCGTTTCTTCATTCCCGACCATTTTGTTGATTCTGAAACTAAATTTCATCTTTCTAGGTTCCAGTCCCTCCATTATAATGGCTCTACTTGTGACAAGTATCGCATTCCGGTGTGTACACCGCTGATAACCGTTAAGAAGTCACCTGACAGGACTAATGGTAATATCAAGTTACGACAAAAGATGAAAGCATGCTTATTCACGTTAACTTGATGTCACACATTTAAAGGGTACCTTGTATTAGAGATATTCAAACTGATGAGCTTAGTTGATTCATATTCATTGTTCAACGGCTTTTTGCTTTCAACGCCTAGAAGATCTCTCTATAAAGTAGAAAGACAACTCAAACTTTTCACCTAGCCGAATTCCTTTATATTTCTGAAACATTATAAAAGCTATCTTTAATCTTTAAGGCCTAGGGCAAACGTCGAACTTTTCATGAGACAAACCAAACTAAGTGAGTTAAGTTCGATGTCTGGCTTAGTTAAGTTCGTCTGAATGAGTTTGGATCGTCCAAGACGTTCTATCAGTCCCTTCCAGACGGACAGAACGTCTGACCATCGTTTCCGGGACAAACGTCAATCTTCACATGCCACGAACTAAACTAAAGCTTTAATAAAACGGGCAACAAAAAAGTGCAACTTGTTTTGCAACATTGCAGCAAAACGATTTGAAAAGCGATGTTGCGCGATTTACCACCCACGTTCAAACCTGTTAACAACTTTATTTGTTGCAAGACAGGTTTGATGTGAGTGGTAAAACGCCCAACATCGTTATTCAACTTGTTTTGCATCGATGTTGGAAGACAAGCTGCACGTTTTTTGTGGCACGGAAATAAAAGATTTGCATGATAATGTATATTCAGGTACCCTTAGACAAAGAAGATTTGAATGATTTTGAGTGGAATTATTGGGCACTTTTCATTTAAATTTTAATTGGAAAGGGAACTAACTTGATTATAGACCTTTTAAGCTTGCATGTTTCGTTTTCTCAATTCAGATCACGGGATTTTCTCAATAGTCCTTCCATAAATTATGTATCCAAATGCACGTGGACAGGACGACATTTGAACGAAACAGTTTCCGAGAAACCTAAATTGATCCAGAAATTGTCATGTTCTGATTCTGTACCTGTAGTTCTTGAGGTTGACTCCAGGAAGTTTCAGTATAAAGTCCTTGAAAATAGAAGAGAAAAATGACATACGAGTAAGTGGCGATAGCTTTTCCGGCGCACTTGTTTAAAAGGTAGATAATGCTATCCACCAAATGAATCTCTATCCAATGGATAACGCAGTTGCTTTCTCTAATACTTTTTCTCTGGATCGCGCAATGCTACTTAAAGTAACAGACAAACGTTAAACCAACTTACAATATCAATCAAACCAGGGATTTAGGGATAGGGATTTTAAGCAAACGTTATGATCATTACGCGTGGAAAACTACCCACCTACCTCTCCCCTAAACCAACATTTTGCCCTAAGTGAGAAGTAAGTGTTAATGTTAATTTATGGGAGGGGTAGGTAGGCAGTTTCCCAGAAACGTACAATGATCCCTACAGAGAACATTCGGACGGGCGCAAACATCAAATGACTTAATACAAAGATTGAAAACACAATGGAAAAAAAACACACGCCATAACACAAAGGCAGCCGAAAATGGTTTCCACAACACCAAAAAGCTGCCAATCCCCCCACGCCCCTCCCTCAAAGAATTTTTCGTAGGTATCCGGCATGTAACATACGTCCTAAGAGAAATTTAAGAAGTTACTGCACCTGTGGCCCCATGTTGTATGTAAAGTCTGAAGTAGCTGAAGTAGCGTCTGATCCTATCGACATGGCTGTGCTAGGATCAGGTTCAGGATAATTTGCCTGTGAATCAATAAAAAAAATATCGTGAATATAGCTGCCGTAAGGCGACTTCTTTTACCGATCAGCGCTAACAATAGACGCGCAACTTTATTCCGATTTGAGTCCTCGAGGATTACAGCAATAAGTAAGATGGTAGACTATCGACCCTAAAGACTCGACTGACATTAGGTCCGATATACCGTAAATTTGTCGTATTTGATGTGTTGTGTTGTGGTAAAAACTGAAATACAAGGTGAAAATAAAGCTTCACGGAAATACTGCGAGCGCAAAAGAAATACAGCAACGCACTTACATTCTTTTGGCGCAAAACTTCTTCCACAAAAGAGATACTCCTGACAGGAAACTACTACT